AGTCACAACAAGTGACCCATTTTGGCTTTGTATACCAGCAGCAAATCATTTTTACTGCTTACCCTTCTGAGAAAAAAACTTGCCATCATTTCCCCTGTGTGTTTATGTTGCGAACAGATTATTTCTTGAGTATATTATTATATCACAAGCACAACAATATAACTAGAAGAAAAGGCTGGCCTAGTTGGTCATGTATTCTGCAATGGCCATGGCAAGTCTTTTCGACAGGTATCGACCTTCTAAATTCTACATTTAGCATCATGATATTGCACTAGAAAAATGATAAAATTAGACATGGAGTGACTACTCCGTTCTTAACACAAGTAAGACTAAGGCAAACGCAAACCGATCGAGACAAACATCCAATTATACAGAGAAAAAGACCTCAATTAACAATTTTTTTCTCAGGATCATTAGACAGTGAACTCACGACTAATTTTGTAGACAAATTTCCCGCCCACACTAGCTGCTAAAGCATGCCTAACTACTAGTTATCACCACCGGATAATTAAAAAATCGAACGCAAGCAAATTATGTCAGGCAACTATTATTTACAAGTGATTGACTCGGTACAATTCTCGGATCCCTAGATGAACCAAAATAAAAATCTAAAAGTAAAAAAAAAAAAAACTTTATAAAAATACAGTTCTTGACTGGTTTTTCTAAGGTGTCGTGGTGCTTTAACACCTAGTCAACCTCTCCCTATTTTTGTGAAATCCGCTGGAGACGCTTTCGACATGACCGAGTTGAATAACAGTGCTACTAGTGATTCAAGAAAAGGGAACAGCCGCAAACAAGATTTGGATTCAGACCATTTGATCGTCGTATGCACTTAAGACTCTTCTTAATCATCAATAAGTTTCTCACCAAAAGCATGTATTAATTTTACAGAGAACGAACTCCAGCTAGTATTTCTTCGTAGATATAAAAGAAAGACCCTATAAAACTTATGGTGAGTGCATGATCAAACATGTAGACCAAACTTCCATGCATGCCCATAGGTATAAGCTTATCTCATGAGAAAACGAAAACAAATCAGAGGATTTATGTGTTGTACCTGTTGAAAAAGAGCTTGGTGGCCGAAACTTGTTGCTGAATCCTGGAATAAAAATGGCTGCTGTGAGCAGTGAGCGTATCTTTTGGTTAGGAAGCTGAGCTTAGAAGAAAAGAAAGAACGGAGAGAGTAATAAATACAATTTAATAAATTACAAGGCAGAGGGACCAGTCTTATCAAATATTCTGCTGGAATATCCTCTTATGCCCTTTCCACCATTTAACCTTCACAAGTTTCCTCACTTATGTGTCCTTTACTTCTCGGCACTTTGGGAGGCTCGAGTGAATAATTTTGTTATTTTTTAAGGGTGTGATCATTGGGAAAAACATTAATTCATATATTTTTAGTATTTTTATAATTTTAATGTATTGATATTAAAAATAAAAAAAATTATTATTATAGATTTTTAAACGAAAGTTATTTTAAAAAATATATTAAACCACAATACTATAATATTATTTAATGGTTAAAAAATTATGTTTTTTTTTCTTGATTTTTTTAGATTTAATTCTTAGAGTATGTGTTTAAATTTGTTATTGAATTTCATTAAGTATATCATATTAATATGAGGATGTGGTTTTGAAATTTATAAAATATGATGTAGTTTTAAATAATATATAAACCAACTTAAAATCATCAAATAAGAACTAAATTTAAAATTTATTAATAAAAACAAACTAGTCTTAATTAACTATTTAAAAACACTTATAATCCTAGGAATAAAAAAAAAATCAGAATGTTAATTGAGTTTAAATTCTAAACGGGTCTTAGAAAAACTTTCCAATTTTGTCCTTATTGATTTATCAATGTTCCACTTTTGTTTCTATAGTTTATAATTTTATAATGTCACTCTTATAGTTTTGAAAAATTTCAGTCTTGTCCTTTATTATTGCATCCAAATCATTAAAAATATAAACTACATGGTATTATGTAACAACTAAACAAGTCCCCTACCTGACTCTCTTAAGACATGAAACGGCACCGTTGCATAATGATGGCAAAAAGTTATAGTTAGCTTCAGCTGTGAAAACTGAAAAGAGGGTGTCAAAGCCAAGCCATTACTGCAACATTGATGGCTGCTGCTGCTGCTATGGACGCCCAATGGGATTTCAGCTGGTACTTTCTTTATCTTTCTCTTTATTTACCAAACCCCTTTTGTGTTACACTGCATTGTTGTTCTGTGTCTATAGTTTCTTGGAGTTTTTCTTTTTATGTTTCTTTATCTCAATACATCTGAAGTCATACTTTTCATCAGCAAATATCTTGTGTACGTGTGCGCGTAATGTGTAGTCATGGTATTTTTTTACTATTCCATTTATTGGCTTGAGGATTGATTTGGGTTTTTTTCATATTTGATGTTAATCGTGTTAAGTAATAAAGACTCGATCTCTAGTGTTGTCTTCTATGGATAGTTTTGAATGACATGGTTTGTGAAGTGATTCTTTCTTGTTTGTGGGTTTCTTTTTAAAAATTGAATTAGAGTGCGGAAATTATATCAAAATAGCTAAAAACTTGTGATTTATAGCGCATAAATTATATCAAAATAGCTAAAAATTGGTGATTTATAGCTATCAGTTTTTGAGTTTTACCATTGGTGCTGAAAGTAGGTCAATATGCTGTTGCTTGAAGTGAAGTAGCAGAGGAAATTAGTCTTGATTCTTTCTTCTTCTTTTTGGCTTGCTGTCCCTTTTTGTGATTTTGGTTTTATCAATTTAGCTGTATGAAAGGAACTTGTTTTGAAATTGAAGGAATGTAGAAGAAAAATAATTTTTTTTCATTTTTAACATGTTGGGTCTATAACTTTAAAGTAGGTAGATTCCATCTTTGTACAAATTATAAGCAAACAATCGCAGCCTTTTGACTATAATTAATAAGATATTTAAGTTTTACCAACGCAAGGCTAACGTGTTATTAGCTATTATCTTATGACAATGAAGTTGCATTATCATAAGTAGCTTATTATGCAGAATTTCAAATTCTGTATTGTGGTTTGTGAAGCTTTTTATACTCAAGAATTAATTAGTTAAACATGTTTAAAGAATGTGAGCAATCAGTGCTAGAATACTGAGAATATCAGGCAATGCTTATAATTTTGATGAATGAATTCACATAGAAAAGAATCTATTTGCAAGGAAATATGATGAATTCACAGAAACTGTTTTGGTGACATGCTCTATTAAGTGCTTCTGTTCAAGAGGCACCAATTGTAGTGACTGGTTCATTTACTTTTGAGAATTTCTTTCTAAATCACTGTTTGATATTGTGGAATAAATTGTCTTCTGCAGTGACTTCGAAGTAGATTTTGGGTCTGAGGAGAATGCTTCTATAATATATGCAGCATTAGCTGTTGATAAGGAGGTGAAGCTGTCTCATAGTTTCATCTCTGCATTGATTGTTGTTTAGTTAGATCCTTATTTTTCTCTTTTACCCCATGCAGTTGCAGCCTGATAAAGTGAAAAGGCTGATGTCGGTCTCTAATGGGACGTTGTCAGTGTAAGCTTGTTTCCATGATGATGGTTAGCTTTTGTTAGTGCTTGCTGTCTGTTTATTGTTTAATTCTAATGGATTCTCTAGGATGGCAAGAATGAAATGTCTTCAAAATTTTGTGATGGTAATATACTGATTTTAATCTTTTCTTTGAATCACATGCAAGAGAAACTGTCATCCCTTTTCTTATACTTGTTTCCTTGCCAATAAAAAAAAAAAGAGTTTCTTTGTATACAGCCATTTGATAATCCAGTCTCTTTTTTCCCCTATTAAGATCGTGCTTTTTAGACTACTTCATTCAGCCCTTCAGGCATAACATTCATGTGTTTCTGCATCATACACGCTTATTATAGCATTTATTTATTATGTATTTTTCTGCCTCGTGGAAACTGTTGATGAAGCAGGAAGTTGCTCAGTTTGTTGCTTGGAAGATGCAAATAAAAGAACTGTCCCCTTACAAGTGTGATCATGAACCAATCTGCTATACTCATGCATGCTCTAACCCTACCTCCACTCTAATCCTACATCTTCCATCACTCCAGCTGGTCCCTAATGCCTATCGCAAAACACAACAATAGCCTGACTGCATAATGTTTTTTAAGCAATTAAATCACACCATTATTCTTTCTTTGAAAACAAAAAAAATCTGTAAATTAGCTATCCTCCTCTTCCTACCTTTATTTGTTTACCTTTTTTCAAGTCAAGGGTGTGTTTACCTGGTATCTGTGAAGTATCTATGTACTGCATGCCTTTCACTTGTATCAATTTGCCAAACACCTTACAGCTTGATTTGCCCTTCTAATCATCTGTTTTTTGATGTAATGATAGGCACTTTGAGGCAGTTGAGGCGAGATTTCTCCGAGCATCATTTTCTGCTTTTGTGGATGTCCTTACGCTCACAACAAAAACAATTGAAGAATTTGGAAAAGGAATGGCACCATGACATGTATTCACAAAGTTTTGTAGAATGTTTTGTAATCTTAGTCCGTTACAGAATTTTGACAAGTTTTGGTTTGAGGTGTTATTTGATCATGACGGATTATTACGCTATTGTCTCAATATGCACAAGGCATTGTGTTAAAGAAGAATTTAAAGATAAAGTGGTTATTTGAGACATAATAACAGGCTCCACACAACCCACCGCAGTCATTTGATGTTTTTTGCAACCATGTTTCAGGCATCATTGCATAATTCACCCCCACCGTAAGCATTCCAATTCCAGCTTATTCTGTTTTGCTATGCATAAACCGTGATAATTTTTGCCAATGTCGTCCGAAAAGACATGGCCAGGTTCACATGCCAACAAAAAGACAACCAGAGAAAATTGTTAAGATTACAAGGTATAGAAACCCAAGAAAGTGAGGAGACAGAGAGGAAATATATATAATTCATTGACCAGCATGGATACCAAGCCAAATAAAAAAACTACATGCAACTCATTAGAGATAGCAACACATAATTTTGAAAATAAATAATCAACCTCCTTTTCTTTTCTTCAAGGATAATTAACCTTGGTGAAACTCAACAAAATCCATAAATGTAGGATGATCGTCTAATGGTGTACACAATAATAATATTACAATTGAAAGGACTTTTACTTGACAATATTATCTACTGCTCGGCGGGGGGCAACTGCATCGAGTACAAAATGGGTATTGAAAAATAGAAAAACTGCAGGTTCATGGTCGTTGCTCATTCCTTGTCTCCTTTGGCTTTTTTTTTTTTTTTCTCTCATCATTTTTACTGTCAATATTCGTCCAGGTAAGTATATAGCATTTCATCTTTCTTTGATTTGCGCCGGCTAAGTAAGGCTTTGAGGAGACGCTTACTTTTGCTGGGATATTGTTCAATGTCTTTGGTATTTTCCTTTTCAGCCTGGAGACGCATGGATGCTGATTTTCGAGGCTCGGAAGGGTACTGCAGAACAGAACAAAAATTCAATGATTTTGTGTTCAAGGTAGATGGTGATAATTATTATTCTAGCTTGAAGTGGAAGTAATGCTTAAATCTACACATTTTTCCAATGAATATTATGATGGTATACACACCCGTTTTTTGGCAGGGGCAGAGCTTGGAGTGGTAGGCCTACTTGTATTTGGAGTTGTTGACCTACTTGACACAGAACCAGAACGCAAGAGTGGAAATCGATGCGGTGAAATGCTTCGCTTATCTGATTTGTGAGTAGGCATCATCAGTTAAAGATTGGCACCAGTATAGAAGCATTGCGAGTTTGAAATTTTCTTCAACACTAGAATGTAACTAACATGATTTTGAAAACTTCACATGGAAAAACTAGAAGAGAATGAACTAGGTTTCAAAGTATGACACTATAGAATGCACACAAACCTAGATCTTTCTTGGGCATGGTAGATGTAAAGGAAAACGTTGCAGATCGTTGTGGAGGAGGTCGTGGAGAAGGTGACGGGGAACGTCCCTTTCTGCATGGAATGCAACTTTACATTAGCACATTCTAACTAAACAATCACAATAATTTGAAGATTTAAAAACCATTTCATACCTCATTGAATTAACCAAAGATGTTGGGGTTTCCCTGGCTGAAGATGTCGGGGTTTCCCGTGCTGATGATGGGGCTTCTCTAATTGTAGCTCGAACAGCTTTGGTAACAGTCAGATGACAGAACATTCAAATTTTGATCCAATGCTACCAATACACAATAAATGATACATAATAAAAGCAAGGCACCCTACCATTCCTAAATTGATGCCAATCATCTTCATCATCTAGGCTGCACCCTTGGTATTTTGATTTAGTGCGGATCGCACCATGCATGGTCTCCCCAACTGAACATGAACCAAAGAGGATAATTACTTTACATCTCCAAATCCAGATAAAGGACAAAAGGTGCAAAAGAAAAGTCTGTGGATGTGTATATACATGCAGAGAATAAAAGAATGAGAAAAAGGAAAAGGGTCATTGCCTGGCAAGATGTACCGCTTATGGTACTTTGGAGTGTCAATCACCAGTGACTGTTGTGAGATGCCCTCATGATCAATGTACTCTTGACATGTCCGTAATCTCTACCATACCATGTTGGAGGAAAGAGATAAAAAAGAAGTCAGTAAATTGAAATGGTTGCCATCCTTCAGTGATGACTATAATTAGAAAAATATTGGTGTTTTATCTATAGAGCAATCATCATTGCACAATCTGTCATCATACGAGAGGGGAATCATAGGAGCAAGAAAAGGATCTCAACTACTATACCTAACATATGTTGCAAGTAATTCAATTACAAATATAGTTTTCCATCTCAAGCTCCATAGACAAAGGTACCTTATCAATTAAAACCTTAGGCAAGTAACCATATACCTAAAATCCAAACATGTGTGTTTGTATTATGAAATTCAAAAAATAGTCCTTAAGTGCATCTAAATCCTAGTGAGACTCCATTTTCGGATTCAATCAGTTTAACATTATTCATCATTCTGCAAACATGAAAGCAATCAAGCTTTATGGATGCCATTTTTTTTTTCTGTTCGTATTTTTTGTCATAGAGCAATCTAATCCTAAATCATGTCTAACTAAGCACAAAGTCACACTGTTCTAGACAACCAGCCTAGCCTTGTTTCATCACTGAGGCTTTTCATTTCTGAGAAGGCATTTTTTTCTCTCCCTCTCAAGTATAATTTTCATGAATGCAGGACTGTTAGCTTCAAAGTAGATTCCCTATTGGTGCCTCAACAACTTATATTATTAAGATCAGGTCATAAGTGATTATCTTTAGAAGATCTCAATCACAACAGAATCCAAACTTACCAACATTTTACCAAAAATCATTTTCATGTGTACCTGTTCAATGCAACACACGCGAAACTCTGTTCCAGAAACTTCATCAACTTTCTCATCGAAGAGATCATTAACCTTGTATGTCACTGAACCCAAATGGTCCACTGTATTCACAAGAGCTTTGATGGCATAATCTTTCAATGTTTCCACCACTCTGCATGGACAGGAGATTTTCATTTTTTAAGGACGAAAGAATAAAAAGAAAAATTAACCTCTGTAGTTGAGAACATCATCCATGGTAAATCAGAGCAGCAGAAACTCACATCTGTTTTTGGTCGTCATTTGTGTATGATAATTCAAAATACTCCGCTGCTGAGTATAGCTGACTTCTCAGATTCTTCAAATCCTGACAGGCACACAACAAGTGAGCAAACTGCGAGACCCCAGTTTATGCGGTCTTATTGTGAGCTACGAATATTCTGCCACCACTCAGACTATATAAACTGTAATAGTAGAATGGTGACCATGTGAATGTACACTATCACCCACAAGGCTTGACTACAAATTGAAAATTTCACTGATGAAGCTTGTGTATTGGCTGTATGTTGGAACCAATAACGACATGAAGCTACTTAGACCTGAAAATAAATGCAACACACTGACATACCGCCTCTTAATCATGGGGAAAAGTAAAACCTGGGAAATGAAATCTAAGATGCCTTAAAGATACATGGACTCGCTAGCTTAGAGACTCGTAAATCCAATTTATCCTAAAGTACCTTCAGACTATCAGAGAAGAGCAAGCTCTGCTGCATAGAAACCTCGTCATAGTTTGACGCCTCTCTAGAGAGAGAAGATGCAGTCATTGTACCCATGGAGGAGATAAGTCTTCTTAATTGCCCTGCAGCAATGTCAATGACAGAAACTAAGAAGTGAGCACTCACATAAGTCAGGAGCAGGAAACAAACAGCAAACCCTAAATCATAAGTCTGCTTTCTGTTTAGGACCCAAAATCAGAAACCAAATAAAATACTAAAAATTGTGATCCAGTGTGAGAGAAGGATCATACCCAAAAAAAATTTAAAATTCAAATTCCCTGAAGTATCACAGAGAAGAGAGACAGGGGGAGAGACAGAGAGCCAGGAACTCTCTTTCACAAAAAGCCACAGCTAAAAAGATACCAAAAGCATCTATATTCCAAACAAGATTTCAACATAATTAAAACCAACAGTATAAGGAGACAGTACTAGTTGCAGGTTGTACATTTCTGCAACTACACAAAGAAAGAACAAAAATAAAAAAAATAAAAAACATTACAGTAATGGAGGAATTCCCTCATAAACAACTTGCAAGAAAGCTCATTTTGTCTGACTCTTCACCAATACTCTAATTATATCAATAATTAAATATAAGCACATGAAAAGTAAGTGACAACCAATCCTTAAGAATAACGAAAGTTGAAAGTTTTTGAATACTTCACAGGAAACCCCATGAATATCAAAGTTTTGAACTTTACAAATCCCTCAACTAATTAAAACAGCAACTTTAACAGTTGCTGGGCCAGTTTTAACCTTGCCCCTAACATTTTCTCATGAAACAAACAGAAAAAAAACCGGGTTTTGTGTATGAAATTCAGATGACTAACCTGATTGTGAAATTATCACTAGAAGATGCAAATTTTTGGCTTTTTTGTCAAGCTGGGGGGCTATAAGGCAAAACCCATTTGCCTAAATTCAAATTTTAGGAAGCAGCAGCAAAGTATGAAAGGACGGGGAGTAGTAGGCTACAGACAAGGACACAAATAAGCAAAAGTAAATTGTCAGAGACCACTATGTGTGTTTGGTAACAGATTTTTGACCAAAAAAGGACAACTTTAGTCGCCCTGAATAGTTGCTAAGGAGCTAAAATGGACATCATAAAGGGAAAACAAAGGAGTTGTGGAGATAGAGGGAGGGAAGGGAGTCGAAGAAGTCGAATTAGAGGAGTGGAGGAGTGGAGGAGACGGGCATTAACTACAGCACGTCTGTGTGAGGGGTGGCGCTTCTTAGGTGACTTCGAGGCACAAAATTTTTAGTGCCTTCTTTTTTATTATGGAAAATTTTAAAAAGATAAAAAAAAAATAACTACAATTTTCAACGAGATGATATTTCTCTTTATATTTTAAAATTATTTAATATGTTAATATTAAAAATAATTTTTTAAAAATAAAAAAATATCATTAATATATATTTTAACACAAAAAATTCTTAAAAAATTAACTATAATTACACTTGAAAACAAGAGATATCGTCGTTTATTTGCACCCTATCATGGATTCCGATTTCATATATAATTCCATAACAACTCCATTTTTTCACATGAGATTTACTACCAAAGTCACTGCAATATGATGACTTGAACACATGCAATCCATCCCCTTGTGCAAAGCCAGCAATTCCGGGGCAATATTTTTCTCTAGGTTTATAAACCATGCCACTCCAACCCCATTTCTCATCATTTGGGTTTCGGTAGGACCCATTACGCTCTTGTCTTTGTTTGTTCGGTCTAAAGGGTCATAACCACACTACCCTACCATGCCTCCACCTCAAGATTGCATGACCCTACAAGAAGCAAAAGGCCCCTCCTTTTCCCCCCTCGTTGAAGAGAAGAGAAGAAGAACATGTAGATAGATGGATTGATGGGTAGATGTTAACCGTTGAATTAACCTATCATCATCCACAATTTATTTGTTTCTGTAACAAGTAAACTCTCTTTCCTGCAAAACCCAGCTTCTGTTTGGAGTTCTTTATCCATGCCCTTAAAAGGCACGCTTGAATGGCACAGTGCTGCTAAGCTACCTTCTCAGCCGGACGTAACCCGTGACCATCCTCCTTCCTTCCTAATGGTTTCACCCACGCGCCCCAAGTTCTTGAACGTTAATGGCATTACATCTTCTAAGTTTGTATCTAATGTCGCTATACATCTTCTAAGTTTGTATCTAATGTCGCCTTTTCTTTTCAATTAGTTTATTTAAAAATAATAACTTTGAAGGTTTCTTTAAAAAGAAATCAATGAAACTGCATAAAATGAAATAGGATTGATCTTATATGTGGACAGCATGAGCTCCACTTTCTTGATAGAAGAGTGGGGATTCTGCTGTCTTGTCCGCACAAACGTGACCTTGATGTCACTCATTGCAGGCTGGCCATGCCCTTTATGAAGCCAAAGCAGCAGCGGTCCAGCGGGCGCTATCATTTCACTTTACGAAGTCTCCAAAACAGTGGCACCAATCATTATTCACACCCCAGATTTCTCTTGCCAACTCCCGGCATCCATCACCCTCTATGGACCATCACCATTGTAAAGATCAACAAGTAACCAATGTCATAGTAAGTTGGCCAATAAAAATCCAATCTTCCGCTAAAATCAAACGTCCAGCAACCTTCCATAGAAGATTTGGGCTTTCCCAAAAAGAAAAAAAAAAGGGAAAAAATTGAGCTAAAATGATAAAGATACTTGTAGTTATGCACCCATCCCAATTATCTATGGAATACATGTTAAGCGCCAAATTTACCTAAATAAGCCTAGTTGTACAATCATTACGAGTTTATAATGAACTCACAGTAATTAACTCTAACTTAGTTAAACCCTCAATTCATCATAATAATTTTGTTTATTTTAAAAGCAAGAAGATTTTGTTTTATATTTTTTAAAAGCAAAATTAGATTTTAGTATGATTCGGCATGTATATTAAATCAATTTTTTTAACACTTATGTTGTGATTAAGACGGGTGAGCCGGGGCAAGGATCTAAGCCGATGAAGTGTAGGGCATTGATCTCAACTTCATGGAAGGCACAATGGATTTGAACACAGGAGATACTAGGACTTCATCTTTTTCAAATAGGTTTCCCATCCATTAGTGGACTTTGGGTATTATTTGATGTGCAAATCACTGCCGTGATTTGTGGCAATTTGGTGGTAACCCAGAAGGGGAAAAAAGTGGAATGATTGTCCCTTCTAGGCAAGCCTCGTGGGGACAAAACAAGATGATTTTTCTTCGCACAGAGAGACCTGAGACCCGTATGGACAGCGAGGAGGTCGCCTAGGGCAAGCCCAGCTGTGGCGGCTAGAGGGAGTCTTGGGTTCAGGCCCCTACTCAAATCTAACAAAGGTGGCCTGAGAAAGCCCAAGGAGATAGACATCAAAGTAACGGCGGCTTGAGCCATTACTTGCAGTGACGGCTGAAACCACAATTAGCATTTCCTAATAATCTCCAAATCCCAGAAGAATTTAAGATAAGATGATAATTATGAAACCTTAAGAGTACTAATAATCTCCAAATTCCCTATGTGGTCTCATGTTCGAGTCCTTGGTTGCTCATATGATGGCCATTGAAGGCTTACATGGTCGTTAACTTCAGGGCCCGTGGGATTAGTCGTGGCTTCAGGGCCCGTGGGATTAGTCGTGGTGCGCGCAAGCTGGCCCGGACACCCACATTAATCTAAAAAAAAAAAAAAAATATCTCCAAATCCCAGAAGAATTTAAATAAGATGATAATTATGAAACCTTAAGAGTGAATTTATGAGCCTTCAATCTCGTTGATCTCCATGTAACCTCCTTTCATTAATAATTCTTTTTACCATCATGTGGTGGAGTTTCTTCTACCCATGCATAACACATCATGCACCATACATGATTATGTCTGGTGTTAATACATTAGGGTCGGCTTGGTTAATTTATTAATCCGATAATTTTAACTCTAATTTAAATTTAATTACTTAATGTGTGATAGATTAATTTGCAATATATGTTATATTTGATTTGATTTTGGGGTGAAAAATTCCATTAGGCGTATAAAGATTTAATCTAAAATTGGATGTTAGAAATTTTAAAGTGCAATTTTTACTGAAAATCCTGTGAGAATTGCGAAAACGTTTTTGAACAACCTCTTGTGAAGGAATCATATGAACTTTGAAGGAATCAAAGCCCTTTTTGGCTATATTTCTAAATAAATAAGATATTAATTAAAGAAAACAATGTTGAAAGAATTTTGTATAAAATTAAAATAACTCATTCTTCCTGTTTGAGAAATGCCTCGTTAATGAATTTGTGTAGGAATTTCTTTTAAAAAAACGATTTTTTTATGGAAAAAGATATCTTCAAATTAGATTATGTGTTATAAAACCAAATATATTGAAAATCTCCTATAAAAAAATCAAAATAACTAATATACTTGTTTTGGCACAACAAGGTACATGAAATAAAATTATTATTTTGGGGCATTATTATAAGAAAATTATTTTGGCCTCGTAATGTTCATGTACAAAATGTACAAAATTATGGTAAAGAGTGTTTATGAAAAGTGTTTTTTTAATTAAAAATATATTAAAATAATTTTTTCTTATTTTATTTTTATTTTTAACATCAATACATCAAAATTAAAATAATATAAAAAAATTAATTTGATATCTTTTTAAATAAAAGATTATTTTAAAAATATAACGATAAAAACAATATTCATGCGCCAAGCATTAAAAAGCTGTAAATGATTCTTGAAAGGTCATTAAATGGAGATACATCATGCAGCCCCCAAGAATGATTATTGGTAATTGTTAATTAATAAATGTGAGCATTAATTAAAAACAGTAGAATGATTTGTAACTCTCATGGACGTGCACATATTTCAATTAATCCATTTCTAATCTCCACCATAATTTATAGCCCTCCTTAAACCCTTCTCCCATCAATCCCTCCCCCAACATTCCTTTTCCCTCCTTATCTTTCTCAATGGATTCAACAAGGTATCAACTCATTGTTCCAAAAATGGAGAATCCACTTGACTTTGATGCCTGGGTTCTTGATGGTCAAGATATCTTCAGCAAGTACGTAAGATTATCCTTCCCCACATTTTTTGTCTTGTAAAAAATGTACTTCACTCATGTTAATGGTTCAATATATAATTTTATGCTTCCTTGTTGTTCAGATTTTCAAGTTTACTTCTCATGATCCTTAGTTAATCTTGTTAAATTTTGTTCATGTATTCACAGGATCTCGGAACTTCCCCCGTTGGAAAGCCTTTTCGAGCCGCTAAATTTGCCACCGTTTGTGCCCTATGACAAGAACTTTAATGGCTTCAAAAACAATGAAGATATCAGCAATGATAATATATTCTCTGAGAGTAATCTTGATTCTTGGTACAATCGAGAAAATGTTATTGACACCAAGCCGGTGATAAACCCTGGCATCCAATATCCTTCTTATAGCCTAAACCTTGACAACAGTGTCATTAAAAGTGAACTGCTGAATGAAGTTTCAATGATGTTGGTCCAAAGTGATTGTGCTAGTTCTTCAAGCATGAAAGAAGAAGAAGAAGTTAGAAAGATGAGTGGGAGGAAGAGGTCTGTTGGATTGGAACTGGAAGAAATTCAAAGGCATTTCAACATGCCAATCACTCAAGCAGCTAGGGAAATGAAAGTGGGGTTAACAGTATTGAAAAAAAGATGCAGAGAGCTTAGGATAATGAGGTGGCCTCACAGGAAGATCAAGAGCTTGACTTCTCTTATCAACAATGTCAAGGTACGTGCATGGCATGTTCTTGCTTTGATCAATTAAAGAAGATTTTATTTATAACTATGTCTTCAGCAGCATATTAGACCGTGTATAAAAATCTATGAATAGCGCATGCATAAGCGAAACAAGAATTCTACGATTAGGGTTTTGATCTGAACATAAAGTAATTAAGGAATTCTATCCTTAATTTCTTGGTGGGAAATTTGTTTTTCTATCGATTTTTTTATACCAAAGCTTAGTTTCTCATGCTTGTTTAGCTAATTTTTAGTCAAGCCATCAAAATAATATAGAAAAAAGGCAGATCCATAATTTTTTGAGGATTCAATATGATCTTGTGACATATGTGGTGTGGTGTAGGAAATGGGGCTAAGTGAATATGAGGCGATCATGTTGGAGGAGCATAAAAGGCTTATCGAAGAACTGCCAGACTTGGAATTGACAGAAAGAACAAAGAAGCTGAGGCAGGCTTGTTTCAAAGCCAATTACAAGAAGAGAAGGCTTTCGGCAGCTTATTCTTGATTTTCCTTTTGCAAAATGCCATTGTCTTTAGCTTTAATCAAATTTTGTGACCCTGGAAACTAGGATCGTGCATGCTTTACATGAAGGCTTAAAAACCTTTAGACAAATTTAATTATATTGCAATGTATTTCCAATATTATAGTTATTATTATAAATATATTAAACTTGATTTAGTCTGATAAGTTAATATTCAGACTTGATCGATCTGCTCTTTAACTCAGGTCGAATTTAACAAAAAATCAATGAAGAATTGACTTAGTTAGCTTTTTTTAAAAAAAGAAAAATCTTCTCTTTAAAACCACAACATTTTAATTTTTAAAGAAAAATTGATTGATTCAGGTTAATTACCTAACTCAATCCAAACATTACCTTTATATCAACTTCAGGTTTAATAACTATACTAATTATCGAAGAGAATCATCATAAAATAAAAAATTAGTCAATTCAATTTTAATATATTTTTAAATAAATAGATAAACACATCATCTGTTTGAAAATACTATAATTTATATTTTAGGTGTTTTTTAAAAATATATTTGTTTTTAAAAAAATCACATTAATTAATTAATTTATAATATATTTTAGATGATTTTAATATACTGATATTATTAGATACATTTTTAATCAATAAATAGTTTTGAAAAGCATCATATATTAACAGTCATTAAATGGTAATCATTCTAAATTTAAAGAAAATATAATCTTTCATATCTTAATTTAGAAAAGCACCCATTTGTGGGTGTTTTTTCCTTCAATGTGTAGGTGTTTTTCAAGATTGAATGTCTCATCGTATTCTAATTCTGTGATAGATGAGTGGACCGACTAGCTTCAGAGAAATGGAGGGATAACGTTTGTTTTATAACTCAAGATGAGAAAATTAATCATAAGCAAATGATGCATTTCTGTGGAATTTAATTTGAAGCATCCAAACATTATTGCACATATGTCACCTGATCGAACCACCCTTACATTTTTTATAAAATCAACGGTCGAGGAAGGAATAATTAAGAAATTAATTATAATTAAGAATTATAGCACCACATGGAATATATTTGTAGCACAATTAAATATTCATCGAGAAGAAATTAAATTATGGTGAAACAGCTACCTCATTCTTTAATTCATGCTTACCTTCGTCTCCATGAGACCACATGCTCAAGGTTTTCACATATTTTTGTCTGCATTTACATTAACAATGTACAAAAATATAATTATAAGAGAATATAACAAAAATCCTATTCACAATACACACACACACACACTTAGATATTAATTAAATCTAATATAAAGCGACTTGAATAATAAATTGAGCGGATTAACTTTCTTTTAAAGATCAAAACGAGCACAAAGTCGTTTTGAAAAAGGTAGTTTTTTTAAAGAAAAGTTCATGGCTTTTCACCGGGACTAAAAAATTAAATTAATCACAAACATAATAAATAAACTTGGTTTGAATATCAACTGATAGAAGAACTGGATATGAGTAGAGCAGTTAGTTCATTTGTTATTTTTTTAATATTAAAATGAGATTGTTTTAAAAAAATAGTTTTTTTTAGTTAATGAATTTTAACTAAGTTAACCAAATTTTTTCAAAAAGTTCATAAATTTTAAGTGAGTTAATTTAAAGATTTAAAGATCAAATCCTTTTTAATTTAAAACATATTAATTAAACTTGAATTTTTGGCCAATCTGGTATAAGATATAGATCATAAATTAAATGAGTTAATTTTTTTTAAAAAAAATATCAAATTATATATTTTTTAAAACAAATAGTTTTGAAAAAAACATAATTTAAAAAAATAAATAGACTTTAACTGGGTTGACCATATTGCGAGTCAGCTTCAAACCATCAAGTCAGGTTAAGTTTAATAATAATTAAAAAAAAGTTCAATTTCTTTGGTTACTAGAAAATCTTATTTCAATTGCAAAAGAGAAAAGATATTTTTTTTGAAAAACTAAAGTATTTTATAATTTCTAACAAAAATTATTTTTAATATGATGAACCAGAAGATCATAATCCTTATTGAATGGCCTTCTGCATATTTCTATGGTATTCATAATGTCTGTGCATGACCATATTCAGCAACATCCATTAAATGTCCATATCTAGATGAGTTCAGAATTACGAGTCATCTTCGAAATTTTAGTTTGGTACTTACCCACGAATTGTGAGAACACCCTATGAAGCTTGGTCTCCTTGTACTTCTTGTGACCTTAACTTTTGTTTTACCTCCATGGCTAGGATCAACAGCTTGTTTATTATTCTTATTGAAACCTCCCCACCTGCTAGACCCAAATATAGTCTTGCCTTTGGTCTTCACCTTCGTGCCCATATTCTTTAAGCTACTGAATGAACTTCCTTTTACAAGAGACAAGGACCGAGGCACGTAAGGTCCATCCAAGACAGTTGCTGGAGAGGGCATGGTGCTCTCTTGGGCCTTAGTTAACAGCCTTCGCGGCAACTCCAAGCACCTATCAATCTTGGGCTTATCAGATTGTGGCATCCAAGACGGTCTAGGCTTGCCCGGCGCATCCTCCCACTTGAATGGTACTGAAGCTAATGGATGGATTGGTGATGTTAGCATCCTTGCCGGTGACTCATGTAGCCTGCCTGGAAGTGAAAACAAGGAGAGTTTTGGGGTTGGGCTTGGATCATAACCTAGCTCATCAGACCTCATCGGTGCCTGTTTCTTTATGTAACAAAACAAATGCGCAAGAGTGAATTTCTCTAAAAAATAAGACCGGCCCAGATCATGTTTTTATGGATGGAAAAATGGGTTTTTTTTCAGGGTTAGAAAAAGGAAGATATACGGGGGAGCTAGTGGTGTTTGGTGGGTGGCGGATGTGAATGGTGAGAGTCACATGTAACAAAATCTCCTGCTGCTGGCGCTTCTACTACCTCATGAGATAATGGCTTGAGTAATATTTCCTTCATTGGTGGCCAAGTGAGGGGGGTTTTAATTTAATCATTGTAACGACCATCAACGGTAATTTGCCAATTTGTTCCTTTCGAAAAAGTCGTCATAGAAACCAATCTAATCTCTCCCTGTTTGTCTGCAAATGGCATGGTGAAATGAAGGTGAAAGGGAGAATGGTATATATGGACGGTTAGGGTTTGAAAATGTAGCTAAGCATGCCATCTGGGATTTTAACACAGAGATAAAACCTTATTTTAACACAAGATAAAACCTTACTTTGAACTCCCCAATTAAGCCGGCTGCTTTTGCTAGCTTGAGATTTATCATTAGTTAATTAGTGCCGAGCTAGTTGATCTCAAATACCATCAATATTCTATAGCTGGAATTATATAGCTTTCATGAAATGAAAATGATTTTGATGATATTAAAATAATATTTTCATGAACTACATGCTTTATATAATCAATATTAATAAACATAAAAAAAACCCAAAATTCAAATTATGATAACTCGAGCCCATAACATTAATGGTTTGAGCTCGAGTTAGCTTCGAGAAATTAATCATCTTAAGTCTATTGACCGACCTGAATCCAAATCACTTTAGTGGGTTAGAATAAAGCCAAATTCATCGTATCAATTATTTAGCTTTAAGATAATTTTGAGGTTTCACCATTTTGAGTTCATGTTTATAGAACTTGATGTTAAAAGCATAATTTCACTAACCTAAATCTAAACCACATTGATGGGTTTGGTTTAGACTAGCTAGAGCCTGCCACATTAGTGATTTGAGCTAGGATTAAGTCTATAGGATCCATTATATTATCTCGAGACTAGGCTAGGCTCCTATCAAACCAGAAACCAAACTGCATTGATGGATTCGGGTTAGTCAATATGAGTTCGTTTGAGCTCGAGTTAGCCTTCAAGGCACATTACCTCAAACCGATTGTGGGTCAAGGTTGGGCATGTATCCCACCAATTCAACTTCAAATTATCGTGAGTTCACTTTAGGCCAACCCGAGCCCGCTACATTGGTGGTTTAGGCTTGGGCAATGTCATGGAGGTCTTAGCCATCATATGAAGTTCAAAATATGCTTATTAGAATGGTTACATGTTAACAAGATCTTCGCAATGGTTCTAATGATGTTTAAATATTTGATCAGAATTGTTGTTGGAAAATATTTGATCCTATCACACAAGAGCAGCCCAATCATTTGGCACAGGAAACTTCCCCAAAAGCACCTGAAGAATGCATGACAAAACAAAGAAGAAAAGAGAACTCTCCTATCCAACAACAATTGTCTTGGAGTCCACTTTGACTAAGAAGCATCCCCATATTCACAAAAAAGAAAGGTGCTGAATGTTTAAAATTTGCACCCACAATTTGGTTTCCAAAGCCGAATGCTCATAATGCAGTGACAGAGTAGCTTCCGTATAATCTGAAAAAAGAAACAACCAGCAAAATACATGTTAGTTCTTTTCTTATTTTCTTGTCAACTTATGTGCATGAGCATGGATTTTCCAAAGCTGTTATAATCTGCTGTGTTCATTACAGTTTCCCTTGTAGTAGTCCGCATTACTTTTGAGGCATGCTCCCTTTTCAGTTCAATTCCATTTTACCCTAAATTCTCAGGTAACAATAAGAAGAAAAGGTTAAGGTCTCACCTGAGCACCGGGAAAGTCTCATAAGATAGCCTTTGCTTACTTTAACTCTACATAGATGAGGGGTAATGGAAGTAGCAACTGAATGTTTCATAGCTTTCTGAAATTCCACATCCCCCAGCTTCTAACTTCTTCAAGATCTTCTCAATAGTTTCTGTCTCCCGCATCAATACATTTTAAAGTTCTACACGATGCTATAAGCAAAGATATGGGAGCTTAGGAAAATAAACACTCTTCTCCCACCTCCGCTTCTTGTACGCCAGCAACATCTGTCATTTGCTACATCAGTTTGGCAGCAACATTTCCTCTCACACTTGTGTCCTTCCATCTTGTTTCCAATTTCTTTCCTCTCTGGGTCATACGGCCAATCTTCATTTACTGTGTCCTTTCATCTTACATTTCCATTTCCATTACCATGAAACCCCAAAGCTCCTTTTCTGCTATATAGTTCTTATGTGATGCCATTTATTACAAAAGTTTCTTCGGTTTAGTTGGTTAAAGTGTTAGGATATTACCATCCTCTTGTGAGATTCTCATGGTTTTGTTCACATTTTTAGGAAAAAATTTAAACAGAAAGTCATTATATATGTAAAGTACACTGTATTTGCAAACTGCAGCAAGAGCTTTGTGTGGACACCATGGACCCTTCTCATTGTTAATCAATTATTTGCTTGAAACTTATTATAGAAACAAATAAAAGGCGAACTTTGTAATAAATTGCATGTGGCTTTCCTAAACAAAAATTCAACCATTAGATTCATTCATATATCAGTATAAACATTTATACTTCCTATTCGTCTATCACTACCTTCTCATACGAATCATTCCCTCACAAGCTAGAGTGCCCTCAAGATCGCCAATAATTCGAGAAATCCGAACTTCAAGACCTCTTTGAACTTCCTGAAAAAGAATTTTTATGTTTTCAGCAAAACGCTTTATGTCAAAGCTTCCAGCAGATTTTTCGAGCTCTTCAGGGACCTCGACAAAACCAGATGCAATTTTGGACCGAACTTCCATCAGTTTCTGTCCTGTAGCAACCATGTATCTCTGAACCTGAAATGTTTCCTCAAGGAAATGCTCTAATGTTTTAGTTTCTTCCTTTTTCCTGGCGGTGCTAGTGTTGGAATCTCCTCGACTCATGTCCACATCATTATCATGCTGTAGTTCACAAATAAGAGAATGGGAAAAAAAACTGATCAAAAATTCAGAAAATTGTCTGTCGACAAACGATGGACTGGAGAGACTGATCACATGGTTTGTGTGAGGGTGTTTGGAAGGGGGGGGGGTGTGGCAGGAATCTACCAGTCAGTTTTTAACCAGGTTTGTTTTCAGTCTGTTGTCCCATATCTTGTAAAAATTTCAAAGTTTATCAAAGGAAATTAAAATTAGAATAGCGAACAATATCAAATACTGACATGTCAAAAGAAACATAATTGAAAAGGGAATTGATCAAAATGTAATAATTCTTGAAATGCACCAAAGTTATGTAGAGCTTACCATCCTTTTGCAGAGTTCATCGGTCTTCCCTTGAAGTGACTGGTACCTGTTAACCTGTTTATTAAGCAAAGACATCAATAATTTGAAGCCCTTTATCCCAGTTTTTGCCTCGTCACTGTTTCCTATATGTTCACCACTGTCTTGCTTTCCTGCCAATCTCTCCAGCATTAGAAGTTGCTGCTTCAGCCTCTTGATCTTATAAGAAACTCCAAGAGCATGGAGATCCATCCTCCATGGTGAATTATTTGTCTTCATCGATGACTGGCTAGTCAATGCTAACTTTTCTACAGTATCAACCACCACTGGACTCGCACTTTCTTCCTGAGTACCACCTTGGCTGGCAACATCCTTCTCTTCCTCAAACTCTTTTTCTGGAGACTGGACAGTTTTAACCACATTCTTGAACTGGTTGTGAAGGCCTTCTTCATCGTCTTCTTCTTTTTCAGGATCCATCTCTCGAGATGTTTCCATCTGATGTACTTTTGTCTCTTGATCATTCTCTGTTGGTTCTTTCATTACATTCTTGGCTTTGGAACAAGTGGCATCATGGGCTAATGCAGGATCCTCTAGAGATGAACTTAAGTTGGCCCTTTGGCAAATCTGAGGTTTTACTTGTACCTTGAGCTGCCTTTTCAGTTCAGTCATTTCTTCTTGCCTCTCCAACAACAAGGCTTCCAGTTTCATGCTCTCATGCCTTATCTGTGAAACATCCCTGTTTAGCCCTTCAATGTGAGACTGTAGTCGTTTTGATTCTATTTCCATGCTCAGCGTTCGCCAACGAAATGCTTCTAATTTCTCATCTTTGAGTCTCATCTGTTCTGCAAAAGCACCAATCTCTAGATGATGCTTCTTCTCAATTGCAGCTGCATACTTTTCTGCTTCTGATCTAACCCATCCTTCCAACCGTTTGACATCAGCTGTAATAGTTTGGAAAAGCAAAGTAAGGAAAGGAATAAAAACATAGAATAGAGGAGATCTGGAAAAAGTACATATAGATTAAGCATCAGGACAGCGATTCAGCTATGTACACTCAAAGCTGGAAAATTATTAGAGGTTCATGTTGAATCAAGTTAGCTAGAAAGCAAGGAAATTTTCTCACCTAGTTCATCATTTCCTTCGGGTGAATAGAGGTTAGAAAGTGGCGAAAAAGCTTCCGAGTTCTTTTGAAACTCAGGATTCTCATCAATATCATAATCAATTGACTGTGATCTGCCGTTCGCAGTTTGTGATACCCCTGTTTCAATTGGAGGATCATCCGATCTCAGGTTGGCATGGTGAGAAAACATGCTTCTTAATGAATGTCTCTCGTGCTTGGACTCTGAAACAGATTTCCACCTTTCTCTTTCTAGTTCAGCTTGCTTTCTTTTAGCCTTAGATAATTTAACCTCCTTTAAGAGCAGTTCCTTTTCAGTTGTATCCATCTTGGATTTCCTCAGCATTGCTGACAAGATCTTATCTTTCTGTTCCAAATCCTTTCTCATCTTCACAACTTCCATGGACAATTTTTGAGTCAGCAACACTGACTCTTCCTTTTGTTCTAAGACTGAATCAAGCTCTTGCCTTTTAGCTTCAAGCTGCCTAAGTGCTCTACCCATCTCAGCTTCAAGCTGCCGGTGGTTCGATACCAGCTCAAGGAAGGCCGTTTTGTGCTTCCAAAGATCAGTAGAATGCTCTTGAGCTTCACGCTTTGCTGTTTCTCTCAATTCTTCTGCAATCTTTTCGGTCTTTGCCAATTTTTCTTCCAACTCCTTCCTCTTATACTCTTCTTCCTCTACTGCCTTGTCCTTGGACTGCACCAAAAGTTCCATCTCGTTCAATTTTTCATTCAATTCAGAAATAGCTTCTTCATTCTTCTTCTCGAGAAACCTCAATTCATTCATAAGAGCTCCAATGTGCTGCCGAAGCTTCTTCCTTTCTATCAACCAGTTCTGCTCTTGCGATGAATAGATACTAACAACTTTCTCGTTCGCTTTCGCATCTTCGCACCTTAGTTTCTTCAGCTCCATGATCTCTTTCTCAGCAGTCTCCAGCTTATGAAGAAGCTCACACTGTTCATTTGCTCCTCCTCTCTGGATTTTCCAAACAAGCAATCCCAAGAGTTGTGCGCTTCCTTGAAGCATTTTATCGCATAATTCTGACCATCTATCGTCTTCCTTATCAGGCCTTGTCAAAACTTTGAGGGCTAAGAAAGCACAAGAAACACCAAAATACATTGGATAGAAGCTGTCACTCTTCCCTTCCGAGACCATCAAATACGAACCAGAAACCTCCTTTCCTTCCATTTCTCAGGAATTCCCTTCTGTTCCTTTCAAAAATGTTAATGGGGGACTAAATGTTAGGACTCAATTAAGGGTTTAAAACAAAAACATTTTTAAGTTAATTTAGGGAAATAAAAAGGGCTAAAAGAAGCAGCTTTAATTAGATGAAGTCATTTACTAATAAGAAACACACACATACCTGGTGGTCTAGTACAAATAATTGAGGCAAAAAGCATCTCAATAATTGAGAAACAGTGATGCACAGTGCACTTCAATGGATACAAAAGGAAACATGAATTTCCTTTATTCAAGAGCAAATAGTGCAGATGAACTTACCTATGTAGAGTAATAAAGACTTCCTCAACTCCAAAACCAGAGGCCGAGACTTCCGGGAAAGAGATTTTAGCTCGAAGACAGCAGTGTTCTGATCCACTGGAGGCCTCAAGGGCCACCTTCAGTCCTTTTTCCACCCGCAGAAAAACCCGTACAGCATTTTATGATGTGAAAGTTATCCTACAAAAGAAGGGCCAGAGAATGCCGAAAGCATTTCTATCTTTACACATGGCCAAGACTGCAAAATCAGTTAAAAAGGGATGCACAACAGAGCAGAAGAAAACAACAAAAGCTTCCCTAGTTTTCAGTGAAAACTGACCACCCATGAAACCCCCACATCCACTATTTTTCAGTGCCCCTTTCCTTCTTCGTCTCAGGCCATGAATCTCATGGGAAACAAAGCCCTAGATTCCTGGTGGTTTGTCACCAAATACATTATAAGATTAAGATCCAAGAGTTGAAGAAGAAAAAAGAAGCTTATCTCCATCAAGAAAGTCATTGGAATATAGTATTTATCCAGAGTGGCTTGCCTGTCTGGTGTTCCATGTCGTACATTATAAAATTATTGAGTGTGTCTAAGCAATTACTATATCTTCAGTTATCATAAGATTCTTTCAATATGAAAAGGAAATTCTTCTGTATTGATTACAACTCTTACCAACCTCTAAAAATTAATCAACATATTGCGCATGGTATCAGCATGAGAATTATGAACCACAAAAGCTTCACTACAGTCTTAAATGACGTTTTTTACCATTGCTATCTTAAACCTGCAAGTAGTCTTATGGCTATAAAGCATCCCTTACTTAAATGAGAGAACTAGAAAGCAAAAACCCTTTATCACTACCTTGCCCTAAAGTAAGAAAAGGGAAAAAAAACCCGATAAAGAGACATGAAGAATCATATTCACATCACTGCAACGGGCAGAGTTGAGATGACAGTTGTTTTTTATGTACCTGGAAAAAGATTTGAGGGGGCTACAAAACTGGTGATGGGCAATTTTTGAGCGAGAATCAAGAATATCTCTTTCAGTTCACTGACATCATGATGAAGCCACCTAAGAAGCAAAGTCTTCATGGGTCCAAAAGGGCTGGCCTCTTTCTCAATTTGCTTCCCTGGTTGGGACCTGTAAAGCAGGAGCTTGTTCAACAAAAAGCTGTGCAAATCCAATTCACTAAAGCAGTTCTGTATTCTTTTATTTAACAAGATTAATTACTTTTTTATTGATCCCAACTCCAAGATCCGCCCTTGGAACCTGGACTTGATGTTGTTGGATTCCTTAATTTGATTGTATATTAAGCAATTCCCTGTCTCCAACACATATTGGCAATTCCAACTTGCCTGCATTAGCAGGATGATAGCCTCTGTGATATTAATGTATCTTACTTGTACGAGCTGCCTTGCAAAGATGGCAACATTTAGGCTTTTGTCTCCTACGAAAAGGAAAAAAGTAGTCTATATTATTTAAAAACAAATTAAAGTTTTTTTATATATATGTTTAGATTGTTTTTGTCTCCTACGAAAAAGAAAAGGGAAGAAGTCTATATTATTTAAAAACAAATTAAAGTTTTTTAAATATGTTTAGATTTTTTTTTTTATATTAATGTTTTTAATATAGTAAGCATAACATTTATAAACCATACCTAGTAGTGCTACATCTTGTCTTTTTAAAAAAATGCTGAACTGACATAAGCAGTAGCCGTATGATATTTTTAAAAATAGTTCTTTTTTAAATATGTTAAAATAATTTTTTTTTAAAAATTATTTACTTTTTATATTAATACATCAAGATCATCATAAAATAATCATAGATATTAAAAATTATCAATTTAATATTTTTTTCAAATTAAAAATACTTTAAAAAAAAACAGAAAATAGTATCATGTATTTCATTAGAATAGGAGTAATTTTTGGGAGAAAGAACACTACCAACCGAACATTGTACACTTTTTTTGAAGAATGTCTAGTCTAAGATGATTTTCCCTTGACACATCAAACATTAAATGCCAAGTTACAACTTGTGTATTTCTTACTGTTTATACTATTATTTTTTAAAGTATTTGTTATTAAAAAATATATTAAAATTATTATTTTATTTTTAAAATTTATTTTATAATATCAGTACATTAAAACAATCTAAAAATAGTAAAAAATTTATTTAAAAAAAAAAATATTTGTTATACTAAAATACTTTCCAACCTAAAAATACAAGCACAAGTGGCCTCAGTGTTGTGGAGTCTCCAGGAAGGAGTAAACAATGTCCTCTCATTTTCTTTCTTCTGTGATGGAGGCTGAGGCCTCACAGGCTACAGTAGTGCAGAACACAAACTAGAAAGTCGACATGATCATGTGCTCTTTAGTTGCTGACGTGGAAAAATTATCATTTTCTCACAAAGTTTTTCAAGTGGGCATCTGCTAGTTGCCTGTGATTGTTCTTTTATGTGCTTCCTTCTTCTTGGATCAGCCTAAAATATGCAGTAAATTAGACCACCAAAGCCAAAGATTGAGCCTTTGATATTGGAAAACAAATTTAATAGAGCCATTTATTATAAAACAAAATCAAAATCCATAAGAACTTGTCAAAAATGTGTGCAATATACATGGAAAAGGTTAATATTTAAATCCATAAGAACTTATTGGTAAGAGATTTTAGTCTTCACATGCAGGAATTCACCCAGAAAACTCTTAATGTTAACCAAAAAAAAAAATTACATTTAACACCTAACTTCTGGTGAATGTTTCGCAACTCAATGTAAATCGAGTTTTTTAAAATTTTAATTTTTTTTATGAAAAAGTAATTTTTTATGAAAAAATAAGTTTTTTATATGTTGAATTTAAAAATAATTTTTTTAAAAAATATATATATTATTTTAATATAAAAAATATTTTACAAAATATTCACAACTATAATAGAACAAACCCTTAACCGACAAACCAAGTTAATGGGCCTGCAAGCACGAGCACAAGAGATAGGTGGAAAAGCATGGTAAGTAATACGTTAGTAAACATCAATCAATCAATCATAGTTTTGATTTTTTTAAAATTTTAAAATCATATTAAAAAAAATCAATTCAGGTTTCAATACATTACAGGTTGATTTGTCATTTTATATTATAGTAGTGTTTAGTATTATAATAATAATTTTTAAAAAATATTTTTATTTTAAAATATATTAAAATAATATATTTTAAAAAAAAAATTCACATTAAAACAATAAAAAAAATTGAAAAGCTAATTTAAAAAAATATTATTTAAAGAAAAATATAGTATGGCCACAAAGACAAACAAGCTATAGGATGATTGTTTTTAAAAGCAATAAGACTTATGTTTTGAATAAAATCAAGTTTAAGAAATTATTTGTTTAAAAATATTTTTAAAAAATTAAAAAAAAAATTAGTTTTTTCTTTACTTCAAATTATTTTTTTAATGTTTTCAGATTATTTTTATATATTAATATTAAAAATAAATTTTAAAAACTAAAAATAATATTATTTTAATATATTTTAAAATAAAAATTATTTTAAAAATTAATTATTATCATAAACTCCAAACAAACTCAAACCAACTAACTTTATACAAGACAACATGTGACCAAAAGGGCTCATGGCTCATGGTTATATATCAATGCAAAGTTTTAAAATTCAGAACCCTGCAAGTTAACCATGAATTTGGCATATCTAGGATTGAAACAAAGTAGGTTAAAAAAAAAAAAATTTGGTGTAACCTATTTAATCTAGCAAGTTGACCCCACGATTTAATTGATCTAGTTAAGAACGGGTTGTAAACTTATTAATTTTTTTTATTAAAATAATATTATTTTAATTTTTTAAAAAATAAAATTTGATTCGACTAACCAATCAAAACTCGAAATTGAAGGTCAGCCACTGTGCTCCATCTTTTTTTTTTTTTGATTTATGTGGGGGTGGCCGGGCCAGCTTACACGCACTACGACTAATCCCTACGGTCCACTAAACATCCTGCAAGCCTAGTGAACAGATAAGATACCGCAGGAGTGACAAACATGCATGATAAGACTCGAATCCAGGTGCGGAGAAAAGGGACAAGCCCCTCCCACCGCATATCTTAAAACTATGCATCCATGACATAAAAATAAAAGTAAGATTGCATTTATCAAAATTCTAAAAGCGGCTTAATTAATCAAGTTTCTAATAAATTCTTTTATGGCACATGGAAGCTTCAAGTGCGTGTTTCTAGACCTGCTGGGAAGCATCTACCTTGTTTCCAGTTTGGTCATGATTATCTCACAATCCGTCATCTTTCATCATTTTTACAAATTATGTTGTGGATCTCTCGTCTAAAATTTAATTAAAAAATTAAAACATTCTTAATTTAACTTTTACATATGCATGTAATATATACATATTAAAAGTGATAAAATATTTGTTCAGATCAGATTACTATATAATATTTGTTCCAATTTTAAGTGTTTGTTTTTGTTTTTGTTTTATAATCTGTATTTTGAAATGTTTTCCAAAACATTTTTAGTTTAAAAATATATTTAATTAATAACTTTTTTAGATGTTTTTAGATGATTTTAGTTATATGATATCAAAAATCAAAAAAATTTAAAAATATTATTTTAATTTTAAAAAATCTATTTACTCATCAAAATTAAAAATTATGATGTGGCGCTATATGAGTGGAGATCCCCGTGACCAAAAAAAACCTTCCTTTACATTGTATATATATTTCATGCAGCTGCCTCCTCTGTCCGCGAGCATTTTCTCTTTCAAAGATTATTATTATTATTATTATTGGAAATTAGTAAGTTTATGAAAATAGAACTCCGATTCTACCCTTCAAAATCCCAAGTTAAAAGTCCCAAAATTCAAAATCCAAACCAAATACTAGGGTTTTTTATTTTATTTTTTTCCTTCTCTAATGGGAGAAATGAAAACGGAGGACATGCCCCTTCCTTCCCTATTCGATCAAGCTTCAAAAATCCATGTAAAGGCATCCGAATCTTGTTCCAGTGATCAGGTACAGCACCTCCTGATTGGCGTTTTCAGGAAAGTTTGTAACTTCTATTTTTTAATTTGGGGTTTGATTTGATTTAGGGTTTTTATTGATTCGATTTGATTTTGACAGGAATTGGTGAAGAAGGGAATCGAGTCTCTGGAGAAATGTGAGGAAATGATTAGTAAACTGGGTCTGTTTTCTTCTAATGAGACTAAGGAGGATATTAGCACTACAAATCTCAAGTATATTCTGGTAATGTTTAAATTTGTTTTTGATTTTTTAAAAAATCTTATTGTGAAACTTTGAAAATTTAGAGGTTTGTAATTGATGGGTTGGTTAAGAAAATTGAAAAGTTGTTTTTTTTCATGGGTTTTTTTAATTCTTAATTTTTGGTGGAACTGGATTTAGGAAATAAAATATATTGGTGAGTTTTAGTATCAAAATGGGACTTTGATATATCATGTTATGTATTTGGTTTCTTAGTTGAAATGTAAGAGGCTTATATGATTAATGGGTAGGTGAAGTTGGAACGCTTGAGGAGGGGAAGGAGCAGTGTTGTTATGTGTTGTTGCTGATTTGGTTTTTGCATTGTTTTGTATGGTGAGGGTTATGGTATGGTGCTTTGTTAAATTAAATTGGGGCCATTGAAAGTTAAAATGGTTGTTGGAAATGTACCCTAGCTATACAGGAGAAGTCTGAAAGGTTGTAATTTTTAGTGTTGGTGATTTTTATGTTTTATATATGGTGTGTGTGATGAATTAGCAAGGTCTTGAAAAGAGCCTCAAAGCATGAATCTCTTATAAACCAGTGGATATTGCTGGTTAATTTCCATTTAAGATCGTTGCCAATTTCATGTCAAATGTAACCTTTGAAGCTCTAGGGTTTCTTTTATTCATTTAATTGACAGTGATGAAAATGATTTTCTGGGATCAAGTTGGGAATTTACATGTAAATGGCTGGTGTAACTGTTGAATTTATGAACTTCGTAAACTTGCTACTTTTATATCAAAATGAATCCAGTAAGATGAGTGATTTCTAACTTGATAGCTTCTCACAATTACAGGTGCCATTCTATTTGGCAGAGCTGGCTGAAAAAATTACGCAGGATGATAGGATACAAGTTTTAAAGGCTTCCCAGGCAAAGTTAAAGGTAATTGCTGTTCATTATCCGTATTATATATTTCAAAGCTTGTCTGCTAACATAGCAATATCCAGCAGAGCTTTTGGGCATATTTTTCCCTCAGTGCTCAATGTTTTTACATATTTAGAGGTTTTGTTAAATCAATTGATATTTATGAAGGAAACTTGTTTTAGGAATTCCTCTCATCTTGTGAGGCAATGGAACTTGTACCGGAGGAGGAGTTGCAGGCATCTTCTCAAGGGGCTCCAAATACTTTTGTAGATCGAAGGGCCCTAAAGGTAGCTTCAATTCTGTCAATTCTCTTTCACTGAAAAAATAATTCTTGGGCTCTCTTTGCAATATGGGGTTTGTTTAGCACTCACGCTCACAACCCCTTCCTGTGCCTCCTACAGATTGCCAGATACAAACGCCAAAGAGCTGCTGTGGCAAAGCTGGAGGAAATAAAGGAGCGGAAAGAGAGGCGTGGTCGTTCAACTAAAGCTGCAGCAGTATCAACTCCAGTTGAGGCAGGGGAGGAAGACGTGCTGGATGATGATGGAGAAGAAGAGCGAGAGGTTAGTTGTTATCCATGCTCTTACAGGATAAGTTGTGGAGATGACCTGAAATAGTTTTTTATCTTTTGCAAAGTTGAGTGTTGAATCTGCAGTATTCTTTTTTGTGCAGGCTTGGATCACTACCATCTCTTTGGCTATTTGTAAGGTTGGTATCATATATCTATAGTGTCTGTCATGTTCTACTTGTTGATCATATCCAGCTTCACACCACTGTATTACCACTCTTCAGGCAATTGATCTGCTGGAAATGTTAAAGAAGGAGGAAGAAATGCTTTTGGCTGTAAAGGAAAGACAACTAAAGGTATTAGCACACTTAAATCTTAAGTGGCAGAGTTTTTTTCCGTTGTGCTTTTGGAGATCTATATGCTGTAACTCTTTCTAGTGAATTTTTTGGCTTTTGTAAATAAGCTCTGATGAAGCAAATATCTAGCAGCCCTAGTGATTATTGTGAAGATCATTCAATGGAACAGTAGTGTGGTGCTAAAGTTTGCTCCATGCCATAGTTAGCTTGCGTCATTCGATGCATTTGCTTCATGATGTGGCCATGATCCTTTACTTTCTCCATCATCAAATACCAAGGTCTTTTTGACATGAAAGTCCAAGTTCTTGATAGCATTGCTTTGTGTCTTTAATTGTTTGATGCATTTGCATCATCATGTGGCCACGATCCTTTATCTTCTCCATCAACAAATACCTAGGTCTTTTTGACATGAAAATTGGAATTCCTAATAGTGGCATTGTGTCTTTAATTGGAATCTTGGTTAGCATTGTATGACTCAGTCTTGATGCTACTTGTTCCAGATGAGTTTTGTTGCATGAACATGGATGTAGTAATTATTTTGATGCATGTTTCAGGAAGGGGGCAAAGCTTTTTCCCAGACTATTCTTGATGAACGTGCCAAGAAAGCTGAAAATTGGCATCGTGATGCTGCAGTGAAAGCAAGATATACTCAACCAGCACAGCCTATCACATGTGCTACTTTGGCTCAAGATGTTATAGAAGGGAGAGCAAAGGTTTCGCAGGCACATGATCATAAGCACGTGCCAATTACATTTGGACCAGCAAGTCTTGTGGGTGGAAGCCTAACAAGCGAAAGGGAAAGGATGAGAGCACAGGTCTTCCAACCTGGCCATAGGTATTTTTCCATGCCCTGATTATATACTTAAATGGGATGCCTGCTATCAAAACATTGTATTTTCTTTCAGGTTTGTCGCTTAGGGATGGAGGAGGGAAGACTTCTAACGTTTATCTTGTACTTTCTAATGAAATTAGATTATAATTATTTAAATGTTTAAGTATCAACAGGGAATAGTTGGGCTCTTTCCCTTATTTTAAGCTGTCTTGAATTTTAATATTTTGTGGAAGGTTACCAACCATGAGCATAGAAGAAGCCGGGTTAAAGGAGATGGAGATTATGAATAAATGGCAAGAGAGAAATGCTGAACTCATGGAAGAAGCCAACTCTGCATGGTACAAGGACAATCCAAAATCAAAACTCAGCGAAGAAGATGATGATGAAGATGACGATGCTGCTGTGCAGAAAGCAAGAGCATGGGATGACTGGAAAGATGATCATCCTCGGGGTGCTGGCAATAAGAAGCTCACCCCTTGTGGTTAAAGTTGGCGGGTGGTTTATGCATCTGCGATGTACACTTTTGAACATAGCTAAAACTCATCTTTTGCGTCTCAGATACTGTTCTCACAAATTTTGGATTGGTGTTATCGTTCCAGTGTTCGTTTGAACAAGTTACATCATGTATTATGTCTATCTCAATACGAATGAGAAAACTTTGTTCACGTAGTTTCTGCCAGCTTTGTTGTTCACAGTGGCTTTTCTCTCACTTGTATCTTTTGGAACTTGCCTTTCCTTTTTTCGTTCCCGTTTTTAGGTTTGAAAATATTTAGCAGTTTTTTTCTAATGGGTACTGGATGGCGCCCCTTCCCCAATTATTTTATCTAAACCCCCATCTCTGTGAATTTCACGATGAAATACGTTCCTATGCAGAAAACAATTTGATAGTTCTAGACTGGGGCATTGAACAATAACACGTCTTCTTTCGAAATTTGTGGATAGAAATTAATGTTATGGCTAGATTGTTGGGTCAGGGATTTTCAATTCTTGTGGCCTTCAGTCCAGAAGGAAGATTTGGAGATGGCAGCAAATTTTCGAGTATCTTGGGTGTGTGGTGACTTGTAGGGTCCCAAAGGCATGGACATTTCGATGTTATCTTATAAAGGAAAGGGACAATCAGATACTGCAATAATATTATAGTGCTTCTCAAAAGCATCCCCAGTTTTTCAATGTGATGTGATGTCGAGCATTGTCTTTTAGCAACTTTTTTTCGGTCCTGTTTTGATTGTTTGTAATTATTGTTATTTTTTATATAATTTTTTGTATTAAAATATATATTAATGATATTTTTTATTTTTTTATATTAATAAATTAAAATAATTTAAAAATACTAAAAACTTATTAATTTAAAATAAATTAAAAAATTAAAAAATTAAATTTTTTAAAAAAAATACTTTTAAAATACAAAAATAAATATACTTGTATGAAAAACAGAATCAGGAGAATTTCAGTAAATATCAATAATAGAATATTTTGAATTTCCTTGACATATAGTCCTCAAGAGCAGAATGATTTGTGTTGTCAAAGATTCCACGTTTTGCCAACTTTTAATAAGGTAGATGATCGACTTCACAAATGAGGTTTTATGAATGCAATGTGTTATGCAATAATAGCCTGAAGTACCTAAAAGAATGTGCTTCGAGTAAAGGTTCATGACAGATCCAATTTTCATGCATTCTACATGTGATTTTTCCCTCCTTTGATACAGGGTTTTAATCAACTTTTACCCTTCAAGAAATCCAAGTTCCCTTGGAACTTCAACCATCTAGGGAATTGATGGTATGGATATCCAAGTTCCCTTGGAACTGCATGCATCTTCTTCGTGATTTTGTCAAGCTGACATCTTGGCTTCAGGACTGCAACATGAATTTAGTAAAGACAACCCTTTCTCACCAAAGAAGCATATCATCTTTGGAATAGGTAAACATGAAAGGGCCCAACAAATGAATTTTTCAAATTAGAAGCTGGAATGCTTATATTAGGAATTACAACTCAGAAACCTCAGAAACAACCGATACCTTGATGGACTTGCTGATCAAAGCTTTTATTAGCTGTTTTATGGTTCCTCATTGCATAAGCATTCAGAAGAAACAGCTCCTTGGTACGTGTTAAAGGATTAACTGTCCAAAACTTGAGACTGGTTTTATGCAATTGAGTTTGACAGAACACACTGTTTCAAATGTGATAGAAAAACTTGGAATAGCTTAATAAAACATGAAAGAGCCAACAGTACAGGTAGAAGAGAAGGGATCTAAAATCTCATTATCATGGATTTTAATCCAAGAACTAGCCTAGAGGCATCCCCTGCCATTCAATACATGGGTTCAGAAAAAGGATGACTAATGCGGTCAAAGACAGCAGTAGCTAAATGACCTCGCCATGCTTGCTTCTGACAGTTCTATGAAATGCGAAAATTCTATGCCAATGGTAGAGCTACAAATTTCCTTGTATCTGAATACAACAACATAAAAGGCTGGTTCTCTGCAAGTAGTTATTTTGTCTGAGTATTTTTCAGGTTCACTGACTGATAAAAGGAGAATCAATCTCCTTGTCACACCATGAGAGAAATAATGCATTAATAATTTAAAATTAATGACAGAAGATCTTCAATTCCTTGCCTTCAAGTATGTCAAAATCCTTTCACTTAGTTTATAATGACATTGCGAGAGCTTAAAATGTCTCATGTCGACTTCGATAAGATTTGCATCTCCTATTGACTGAAAATTGAATAGGAAGCTGCTAAAGTAACAGCAGGTAATTGATATCTAATTCTCAAATGAAGAATCCACCTTTTTATCGTGAAACAAGTATTTCCTTGCATCATACAGTGACCAAAAAAGATATGATAGATGACATACAGAAAACAAGTGGATGCAAGAGAATTAAAATGAGAACTAGTTTTTTGCTCAAACAGGCAACGGTAGTTGATTGAGTTCTTTAATCTGCGTGTTGGAGAATTAGTTTTATACACTAATGGAAGGACTACTGGCATTTAGGTATGAGAAAAACCTAATGGAAGGACTACTGGCATTTAGGTATAGTAGAAAAACCTGCACACCTACACGAGGAGATTATGAGAAACTGCACCACCCCTTCTACCATATAGACTGAGCAAAAAAAACGCCAGAAGGTAAAGCTCTGACCTGTTTGCTCAATCTAATTTCAAAAGATCTCTGTGTATATAAGAATGTCACTACAAACTTAGAACTAGCTTGTTCTGCCATTTTGAGCAGGTAGTGGATAAACATCCATAAATAAAGTCTAATTGGTGATCTAGAAGATACAAGACAACAAGACTAAAATCGGCAAAGTAACAAGATCATAGAGACAAAAAAAAAAATTGCAGCCTGACCAAGAAGTCCCAGTGAAACACGGACATTCTGAAAAAATAACTTTCCGCTCATGCGATCAAAAGGCAACAGAACATCAGCAGATTCATTGACAGCTGACCAAAAACGGAAGAAGACAACATCAGAAAAAAGCCTGCATAATTTAAATCTCTGGCTTGTATACATACACATCCCGCTGCTTTAGAAGAATGTGCATATGAGACATTGGAACAATTTCATTTTTCCAGAAATTGATGGTACAAAGAAATGAAGAATTTACCATGCCAGGACAGAACTCTGAGAACCAGTCAATAAAAAATTATTCAAAGAATCCAGTTACATCTTCTTCTCTATCTTGGATGTAGAAACCGCAGCCAGCTTCAATGTTAATAACCAATATACAAGCAGAACACCCCCAATAAAAAAAAGTACATCAATAGCATCCCCGTTTCAATACCTTCAATTCAACCATCAATGCACTTAAACCCCCTGCAAACCCACAACCAAACCCCACACAATACAGCACAAACAATCAAATCCAATGTCAAAACCACCCAAACATGCTTCTTCCAAATCTGTTTAGCCTTTTGCTTACCATCCCCCATATAAAACGCACCACTCTTTCGTATCATCGAAACCGAAACCTCCCTATTTCCATGCTCACCAACACCATTCACCTTATAATTATTATTATCCAAATCACCACCATGATGATCTCCATTAGCCTCTCCAGATGGCTTCTTCTTCATCATCATCAAAACTTTAGTTGGCTTGGGAAGCAAAGTTCTGGTCACAGCTCCCTTCCCATTCGTCGAATCCAAGCTTGGATTCCTACCATCCTTTGATGATTCCTCCATTAAAGTATTCACCAAGTCAGCATCCAGAGCCAATATCTCCCTAAACATACACCGCAATTCACCTTGGAAACAAAAGGAACCAATCTTTTCACCATCTTTCATCATCTTAGACCCCCAAAACTCCTCAAAACCATTCTTTACACGGTTCAAAAACCACAAATGCTCAGACTTCTGGAGATTCTCATCAAAAATAGCAAAATAGGCAAAAGGGTCATCGATTAAGAAAGTGTAAGTCTTGTTGCGGATTGTATGAGAAAACATGGAATGGTTAGGCGGGGTTTTCTCTACGCATCTTTGACCAATGATTTCAATTCCTGATTCTTTTCCCGGTGAGAATTCAGCAACAACGGTAGGTCCTTTAGCAATGCAAGCATAGAAAACATGATTTGGGTTAGAAATCATTGGTGGGATTTTGTTTTCTTGATCTTTAGTGAACAAAGGAAGGATCTTTTTAAGTGGAAGGAATTGATTTCAGGAGAAGAGAAGAATTTAGCATTGCGAAGTTGAAAACGTTTTTACTTTTTTTTTCTCTCTCCAAAAAAATAAAACCCTCTCTCGTGTCTCTCTTTCTCTCTCTCGTTTTTGGGTGTTTGGATTCTTGCTAGCTTGGTTGTTTACTTCTCTCGCTGGGGTTTGAAGATGGAGGGGAAAGGAAAAGAATCAGAATGATTGACTGGATTGTACAAGAAATAGATTGACCGCTGTCTTTGGCAAACTTTCCCTGCCTAATTACATAAATGCCCTTTCAAACTCTTCGATTGGAAGTAGCAATTTTGTGACCTGTCCCTATCGTTTGCATCAGGTTTTACTTGATGATAAAATATCTCATTGCAATATTATCCCTTACATTGCTTCAACGAATCTATCTCCCTCCCTCAAACCACACCCCCCCTTCTCTCTCTCTCTCTCTCTCTCTCTATATATATATATATATATATATATATAACACAAAGGAAGAGTACCTTAGACTTGATATTGCTTTTATGATGGATGATAGTTTTTGGACTACTTGGAACATGTACCAGACACGATGGCTCCATTCTTGAGAGGCCTGATCCGACGCTTCCTTGCTAGTAGAATAAGCAATTCAGTCCTTCCATCTAATCGGGTTCCTTCCTACACATATTTACAGGCTCTTGATGCCATCAAGAAGCCAAAATCACAGGAAAGCAGAGAGGATGAGGCCTCACCTTCTCAGAAATATAATCTTGAATCCATTCCAGGGCTGTAATCTTCTCCGGTGACCCATTCATCTTCGTTATCAGTACCACTCCAATCATTCTTTTACGATTCAGTTCTCCCATTTGTTATAAAGCAGATGCTTTCCGCTCAATGTATAAGAATAAAATGGTAGGGGTTAATGGTATTCAATGTATCCGAGTCATGACTGCTTACATGTTTTAAGTGTAGATTGTGGTAGATACAGCCATTTTTGTCATTCTGATGCGGTTTCCATCAGCGGAGTTCTTGTCGGGTAATAGAAAACGAAGGCAAGGTGCAATATAATTGCAGGTGTAATAATTCTGGAAATATTTTTTTTTTAAATAATCTTTAAATTTTTATTTTCTTTCTATATGTTATTTCAATTATATATTTATAACTTTTTTAACCTTTTATCTGTACAAATAATAGTTTTATTAAATAAAAAATATATTTTAAAAAACATAACTATTAAGTATGAGTTAGTAGATGGCTCATATTAAATTTAATTTTAGTTATTTTTAATTAAATATTAATTTAACTAATTAATTATATGTATAAATATTTCAATTTATGTTTGACATTTTCTTCTAAAAAAAAACACTAGAAAAATCCAAAAAGGCACTGGAAAAACAGAGTTATTAAATAGTTTTTTTATAATAGAATTAAAAGTTCATATGTATTTATCATACTAACTTGTAAAAACTAAAACAAATCCACCAATAAAAAGTAGAAGTAGAATCTTTTATAAAAACTAGTTTTCTTTGTATGTGTATTATTCAACTATATGTGTAATAGTTTTTCATGAATTGATCTGATATTTAATAGTTAAAAATTTTCATTTGTATTTATTAATAACTCCTAAAATAATAATCTGTAAAATATCATACAATTTTAATATAAACATAATCAAAATTAAAATAACTTTTTTGTTTGTTAAATTCATCAAGTGTTTGTGCCTATTTTTAGGATTAAATTATGAAGAAAGAAAGATGACTAAAAAGTATAAATTAGAAACATAAAATTAAATTATTAAAATTTTAAAATTATTCATTGCAAAATATAAATTAAAATGTTAAATATCATACAATTTCTTGATTGTTATGATGAATTTTTATTTCCATTATTATCCGCACAAAAAAAAAAATCAAGCATCATCATCATCACAGACATGACTGGAGTTTTGAATCCGAGTCCCTCTTTATGGAAATCTCAGGTCTTAATCCATGACTCTTATGTGTAAACATCAAATATTTAAACCAATATCATTCCACAGCCTCGAGGGCTGGAGTTTTATGGCATTATCATCGCAAACATGAAACAATAACAAGCAATAAATAGTGTATAAACATATCATAATCGTGTCACTCATGATCAACCAAAATCATTCCTCCATCCATGACCATCAAGAGGAGGCATCCTCCAATCATCACCGCCATTGAAATCAGGGCTATATCCACCAGCATGTCTTCTCGAATGCAGACGCGTCCCGTTATGTCTGGGGCTAGGACTTCTTGGAGCTTGATAAGCTGTTGTTCCACCACCTGAACTGGAAGAATCACAACCTGGACCAACAATGCTTGAATCTTTCTTGGTGGATGGATTCCACAGAGGTGTAGCTGGGGCACGTTGCTTGATCAAACTTTGAGAACGCACTTTCGCCTTTGCGGACTTGGTCGGAGCCATGTAGCTAGGTACATTGCTTGAACTTGATTGCCATTGGGGTCGATTCGAATATGGATTGGTGTCTAGCATGCCCATGGAGGGATTGCTAGTGCCTGTTGGGGTCACCGTGTCCATCTCTACTGTCTTTTCGGACATGTCCTCTGTGGTGGTCGTGGTTGTAGTTGTCTTTACTGTCACATAAGACCCTTCATTTGGACCCGAATGACGCACGTTATATGGTTGTGCTGACATCCATCTCTCAAGCCAATTCCATCCCCATTGCATCTTCTCGTGTTCGTTCACAAAATGTTCTGTTTCTTTACCATTAGGACTATTTTGTGAGGGTAATTGTTGCTGCTGCTGCAATACAAATCCAATCGCAGGAATTCAGTGGGGTTTTGCCTTTATTTTTGGCTCACAGGTTGTTAAAATCACCTCCTAAAATGTGTTGAAAGTGACCAAACTTTAGCTAGGGCTAATTTTAATGGAGCATGTTACATACCTGCAAGGCATAAGCATAAGCAAGGGCTCTTTCTCTTTTCATGACAGCATCATGCTTCTTTGAAGCATTTTCTTTGAAATTATCTGAACTTTGATTCCTCCTATCCCATTTATAACTCTTCAATGGATTCTTTGGATTCATAAAGTCTTCTTCCACTGGTGGTCTTCGTTCATCTTCTTCCCCTGTCTTCCTTTCAAGCTTCTCGTGAGCTAATTGAAGTCTTCTTGCTCTTACTCTTGCTTGCACACGAACAAGAGCTTGCATGCTTCTCATTGTCATTTGTGCTTGCTTTCTTACATTGTGGCCTCTCACTAATGCTTGGAGCCTCACCAATCCCTTCAATGCACGTAAGGCACGCCGAGCCTGCAGAATATACACGACTGGTTAAAATGTAAAACAAAAATAATTAATTGAGTTTACAGGGACGCAGGATTCATTGTACCAGCTAATTAAACTATTTTCATCGTTGTAATTAATTTACCAGATTATATTGATCTAATTAAAGTGAAATGAAGAAAGGGATTACAAGGTAGCCCCTATAGAATGATTGTATGAGGATGGCTGCTCTTTCTTCCTTTGATTGTCGTCCATAACCAGCTAAGCGAACAACTTTAGCCGCCGCTTGAGCAGCTGCAACCGCAGCTTCTGCTGCGGCAGCAGTTGCTACTGCCACAGCAATCGCATGATTTCTATCTTCAGTTACTGGAGTTGATACATTGCTCTCATCATTTGTAACATCTGGGGAACTTCCAGTAGGAAAATGCTCTAATGACACAACTTCTGGAGCCTCATGTTGCCATTTCTCTGCATTGTCTTTCTGAAATACACACATATCATGCGGTCATTTGCATTGATGTCAAATTAGTGATGAATTGTCATAAAATCATGAGCTGGTTTAATGCGATCAATTAAGATCAATCAATTTCAGGAACAAGAAGAATTTCTTTTTCAACTATTTACAGCAAAGAAATTAATAATGTAATACAACAAGCTTCTCTTTGGCATGACTGGGATCTAGCAAGGCAATGCACATGTGGATGGAGATTGATGAAGGGAAATCATTGGTGGCATGACAATTATAAGTCATGAAGGATTGCAATATTTTGATAAGGGGACCATGTGTTCCTCCTTTAAGTTTATGGACCTAGCTACGGATAAAGGTTGGGTCTTTGTTTAACATGGCCTTGGAGGCTGTTTCGCAACTCGACGTGGCCATGTTTTTGAAAAAACTAATTTTTTTAATATGTTGATATTAAAATAAATTTAAAAAAATAAAAAATATTATTTTAATGTATTTCTAAGCTAAAAAGAAAAGGATAAGGTTGGTTAAATTGACATATAAACATCATTGCCTACAACTGAGTTGAGAAAGATTGCACAACTGTATTAATAATAATGATGATGATTAAACAATCATTAGCAATAGTGTGATTAGTTCATGAGTAAAGAATTGAAGTAACGTAGAATAGGAAAAAACAACATGGAAATCTTAAAGGGACGCTATCAGATTAGAACAGAAGTCTTACAGTTTAGGTGTACCAAATGATCGTGTAAAACAAGTTTTTGCAATGATTAACTTTGCTTATTACTTAAGCATACACAAAAGCATCCCATGATTTATCAAAAGAAAGTATCTAAATATGATGTAAATTATACCTTTTTCCCTACCGGTAATTCCTTAGGAGATGATGATTTGAACACTCTCTTCAAAGATGTAAACCATCCATTTCCTTTCTTCCCCATATCCGTTTAAACTGATGATCAGCTTCACATTGATCAGTTATCAATCAAGTATTCACCAGAAAAGAAGAGACAAGGATAGTATAATCAAGAACACAAACAATCTGGTATATAAATAGGACTAAAACAGGAGACCTTTCCTATACATGAACTCTGTAATATTGCATATATTTAGCTTCAACCCAGAGGAGAAAATCAAACGAGTTAAAAATGCAAGCACATAATGACAAACTCAAAAACCATTACAAGAGAAAAGAAAGCTAGCTAGGCTAGATCAAAGGGTCACACTTAAAGACACATGCAAACACACACACACATTGTGTGTGTGTGAAACCAAACCTTGAGAAACTTGGGATGAGTTGATGATCAGTGAACGAACGAAATTCACAGCTTCTATCTTTCATTGTACACGTTCATTCCAAACAAGGGCTTTGGTTCATTCATAGAAATTAGCATAAGAAGAAGAAGAAGAAGGCTAGTTCATGTAGAGAGAAAGAGGGGAAGGATGGCTGGTTCATGTAGAGAGAAAGAGGGGAAGGATGAGGAGAGAGTCAAGAGGGGGGTGAGAGTAATAACTAATAACTGTAACCCACGAAATTCGCCGTTCGTATTTATGAAAATCACGGGCCCTCTCTTTTGGTTTCCTATCACGGGCTGTATAGAGAAACAGCGCCTGTTGACGTTTGGCTAAATATATTAAAATTGTTATTTTTTAAAATATTTATTATTTAAATACATATCCAAATAATATTTTAAAAATAAAAAGTTTTCAAAATTAAAGTGTTAAAATAATTTAAAAATATAAAAAAAATTAATTTAAAAAAATATTTCACGATAATTACTCCACTACCTCCAAAAACACAAATATTTCGCGATAATTACTCCACTACCTCCAAAAACACATTTAATATAAAACATTAAAAAATTTAACAGAGATCAATTAAATGCTACACGTACTCATAATCTATTTAGAACTTGCATAATAAATTTATACACAACATTTATATATGCTAAATTTATAAGAGATATTATAAATAGATTATATTTTTATTATACAGTAAAATTATTAAATTGCATTAACATTGGGGGGAATTTTTTAATTTTTACTTTTATTTTAAAATTGAATTAACTAAATTGCCCCTAAATTTAAATTCCCTAACCCTTGTATCAAAGGGTGTTTCTATTATTTCCTATGATTTTTTTTTTGGTATTATTAAACTGAGTTAAGGATAATTTAGTCTTTTATATTTTTAAAAATTATTAAAAAAATATTGGAGAGAGCTTTACACTCACCAACATATGGGGCGGTTTAGTACTCTTCAAGCAGTATGTAAACCATCATCCAAAAAAGAAATGACAATTCTCAATATGATATTGAAAGATACATGATATTTTTTTCTATTTGGAGTAGCGCGTGTGGTGGTTACAATGGCCGTTAGTTATCGACCGCCCTTTCCTTTTCTTTTCCTCTTGTCTTCCCCATTCCCTTCGAATTTCATGTTGATCATTAGAAAAAATCGAGTTCTTCCTCTTATTTTATAATATATCCGACTTGACCTTTAATATTTTGATTTATAAGTTTGAGTCTTAGTCTTTTTATTAAATTCTAATTTAATTTTAATTTATCCTTAGATCCATGATCTTGATTTATAGTTTTTTCAATTTGGTTCCCATTCTCTTAAGTTTTATTTTTTTGGGTTATTTTGTGAGTTTGATTTTTCTTTTCAATTTTATTCTTCTATTCAAAGTTTAATTATATTTAAAGTTTGGCACTCAATGTTTTGATTTTAAATTTTTATTCTTAATTTTTTTATCAAATTTTAATTTGTTTTTAATTTTATCCTTGGATCTACAATCTAGATTTTTTATATTTTTCTTAAATTAGATCCTCATTCTCTTGAGTTTTATTTTTTGTTTTGAATTATTTTGTTAATTTGATTTTTCTTTTCAATGCTACCCTAAAATTCAAAATTTTAGGTCATCATCTTTTTTTTTTCTTTCAAATTAGGTCTTTATTCTCTTAATTGCTATTTTTTTTATCATTTTATATAATTAAATTTTTAAAATTTTATTACTCTATATTTGATTTATTGGGAGCGCATCTTTGCAGTATTTCCTGTATTTTTATTCTCGTACTTCCATCTTCATAACTTCTCATGATTCTTACAAAATGTTAACCCATCAATATTATAAACGTGGGCCATTAGTTTTTTCACCTTATTTATTGTGTCATTCAAGCTCTTGACTAGTGATAGTTTTCTTATATCTTATCTAGGATAGTTTTCTTTTAATATTTGTGACAATTCAAAATTATATCCATATTTTATAGTGGTGAATTTAATAGTGTTAGGCATCTTATTGTTAACAAGTCCTGTTATTCAACAGGCTTTATAGTTAAGGTCATGCTTTATACAAAACAGGTATTATAAAACATACACCATAAAGATAGTTTCTAATTCTTTTATGTGAGGCAAAAAGTAGATTCACTACTTAATCTCACACTCAACTAGTGATATATATATATATATATATATATATATATATATATATATATCATTATCAGTCTTAGCACTTAGCAAAGAGTTAAGGTTTACACAAACTTAAAATAGCCTAAAATTTATAAGGTAAGTTGTTAGTCCTCCATTTAACTTAAGTTTTATAGCGTGCTTTTATAAAAAAAATGATGCATGAATGCTTTATATCCATATCCAATATATTATGCATATAATGCATGCTAAAGCTCTTCAAACAAAAAAAAACATAGTAAAAGAAATCAACACATATTAAAAAAAAATCAAAGCCTAGTCATAGTTCCTCCGATGGAATTGTTATCCTATCACATATGTGCAACATCACAACAACTATTTTCTAATAAGATTTTGAATGTCTTTTGATTGGTTAGGAAATCACCACCTAGTATTACAGCTACAAGAAACCTTAAAAAATCAACACATATTAAAAAAAAAATCAAAGCCTAGTCATAGGTTCCTCCGATGAAGTTGTTATCCTATCACATATGTGCAACGTCACAACAACTATTTTCTAATAAGATCTTGAATGTCTTTTGATTGGTTAGGGAATCATCACCTAGTATTACAGCTACAAGAAACCTTCATTTTATATAATTAAATTTTTAAAATTTTATTACTCTATATTTGATTTATTGGGAGCGCATCTTTGCAGTATTTCCTGTATTTTTATTCTCGTACTTCCATCTTCATAACTTCTCATGATTCTTACAAAATGTTAACCCATCAATATTATAAACGTGGGCCATTAGTTTTTTCACCTTATTTATTGTGTCATTCAAGCTCTTGACTAGTGATAGTTTTCTTATATCTTATCTAGGATAGTTTTCTTTTAATATTTGTGACAATTCAAAATTATATCCATATTTTATAGTGGTGAATTTAATAGTGTTAGGCATCTTATTGTTAACAAGTCCTGTTATTCAACAGGCTTTATAGTTAAGGTCAGGCTTTATACAAAACAGGTATTATAAAACATACACCATAAAGATAGTTTCTAATTCTTTTATGTGAGGCAAAAAGTAGATTCATTACTTAATCTCTAAAAGGATCTCTCGTTGTCCTAATAATCACCCTCGTTAAGACAACATAGGAGTTTAGTAGGCAATAAAAAGATATATATATATATATATATATATATATATATATATATATATATATCTA